GAGCCTCCACCACCCGCTGACCTGCAGGGCCAAGGGAAGGGACTGATGCAGGATCGTGGGAGAAGGCTGCCCACAGGGGTTGGGCCTGGAGAACAGGGTCCAGGAGCCTGCGGTGCCCAGGTGGGGACAGAGCCAGCAGAAAACCACCCCACTGCTCCACCCCCACAGCAGGGTGGGAGAGGGCTAGAGGGGCTCTGGAGGGGCGGCCCACGTGGTCAGCACAGATGAGAAGCTGGGGCCGTGGGGTGGATCCTGGTGTTTCTCCGGCGGGGTGCATGGTGAACATTGTGCTGACCAGGCCTGTCACTTGTCCTGCCTCAAGGACTCTGGAAAAGCTGACCACATCGATAATTACAGAAGCTGGAGGTGACAAGACCTCACGGCATCTCTGACTTCATCTTCCTGTCAGGGCAGGAGAAGGTCTCCTGGGAGAAGGAGGTGACATCTAAAGTTAGTCCAAGGCCGAGAGGAATTCAGCCCAGACTGCCCTTTCTAAACCGGGGCCGACTTCTTTGAAAACGTGGCAGGTTCTAAAAAGCATCTGAAGGAAATGTGTCTTCATAGCCAGGACATATTTTCTCTGGCAGATTCCGAGATTGATGATGCAATTAGGGCAGGCCAAGAGAATGAAGTATTAGGGCTGTAAACTAAGATGCACCTAGATGTTTCCACTCTTTGGGAGGCACAGGTGTAGCAAAAGTTCTTTGTTCCTTAAGCTCAATGTAATAGTCTGCATTTTGTGTTAGAGCGGCATCTCCCCACAAAGGCCACCTCTGTGTTTGGCATAAATCACAATGCAGAGAGAAGGCTCGTTCGGTGGTGTCTTCCCCGTTGGCACCTGGCACGTATCTGGATTATGGATGGTTGTGGGTGCTCCCTGGCACCCTGGCTGTTAGAATGGAGCTCTGGACACGGAGAAGGCCTTTTTTTTTTTTTTTTTGAGATGGAGTTTCACTCTTCTTGCCCAGGCTGGAGTGCAATGGTGCAATCTCAGCTTACTGCAACCTCCGCCTCCCGAGTTCAAGCAATTCTCCTGCCTCAGCCTCCCAAGTAGCTGGGATTACAGGCACCCATCACCATGCTTGGCTAATTTTTTGTATTTTTAGCAGAGACACGGTTTCCCTATGTTGGGCAGGCTGGTCTCGAACTCCTGACCTCAGGTGATCCACCCGCCTCAGCCTCCCAAAGTGCTGGGATTACAGCCGTGAGCCACCGCACCTGGCCAAGACAGCTTTAAATGATCAGAACAGCAGAGGGGCCTGTGTTTCCGGGAGGGCACAAGGCCCATCTCCCTCTCTGGTTGGAGGGGACTCTCTTGCAGATGGAGGTCACGAGGGCATTCTTTGCATACGGTTTACCTTTCTTTTCATTGAAATCATTGTCTGGCTGCTATTTCCTGAGCTACATCTCATTGTAAAATTCTGGGTTGTTGGCATAAACTCTTACTTGCTGCTTATGTTTGCTGGCTTCAGCTGGTTGAAGCTTTCTCCCACCACCTGGGCAAGGGTGTCCTCGAGCTGTGGTTTCTGGGGTGGCCCCAGTCCTGTGGAGTGTGATCTGCCTTGAGCTCGGCCCACCCAGGGGAGCCACCATGGTACCTTTCCTCTGTAGGTGGCCTCTCAGGACTCCCCTCAGGGAGTCACTGTGGAGACATGGCCTGTCACTAGGTGTCTTAATCAGTGTGAAAAGCCCAGCTGGAGGCCTTCCATCCGTTTTCCGCCTCCCAACACAAATGCTCTTCAAGTGGTGGCCTGGCACAGACTCTTCGGAGAAAGGCCTTTTGATCCCAGCGGGGGAGGCCTGTCCCCGTGTGCTCCCGCTGCCACCTGCATGCCCGTCCACCGGCGGGGCCTCTGTCGGGAGGCAGCTGACCTGAAAGGGATGTTGTTTTTTTAACGCGGGTTTTAGTACCCACAGCAAGAGTATTTTTAGCTGGTTATTGAGGCTGATTAGTGAGCCCCAGGCCTCCATTTGGTTAAATAGAGCCACCTTCACAGATGTATTTTGGTACAGTGCAAATCTAGTGTTCTGGATGGTATAGAGTTACCCCAAATGATGGCCGGCCATTTGCCCAGGGCCTGGGTCCTGCAGAGCAGTCTGGCTACATTCCCATGGTGCCAGACCAACGGCGGGCTGTCCAGGGGCGGCAGGACCCTGGGTGCTTCTCATTCTGGCAAACAGCAGGCAGCTGGCTCCAGAGTGCTCAGCCCCTTTGGAGACGCCATGGCGGCCCTGTTGCTTGCTAGCTGTGCTGTATTGGAACCTCTCAGACCCCTTAGTTTCTTCATCTGCAAATTGGAACTAATAATACCTACCATGTAGATATAATAATCCCCTGCCTTGTAGGGTGAGCCTGGCATCAGCACTCCATGCGGGGAGTGTGTCTGTGTGTGGGTGTCTGTGTGTCTGTACGTGTGTGTGTAGGGGTGCGGGTGTGTTTGTGTGGGTGGGTATCTGTGGGTGTGTGTGTCTGTGAGTGTGTGGGTCTGTGTGTGGGGGTGTCTGTGTGTGGGTTTGAGTGTGTGTGGGTGTGGGTGTCTGTGTATGGGGTATCTGTGTGTGGGTAGGTGTGGGTGTGTGGGTGTCTGTGTGGGTGTATCTGTGTGTGGGCACGTGTGTGTGGGTGTGTGTGTGTGTGGGTGTGTGTATCCGTGTGTGTGGGTACGTGTGTGTTGGTGTGTGGTTGTCTTGTGTGGGGGTGTGTGCGGGTATCTGTGTGTCTGTGTGTGTCTGTGGGTGTGTAGGGGGTGTGGGTATGTGTCTCTGTGTGTGGATGTGTATGTGGATGTGGGTGTCTGTATGGGAGTGTGTGAGTGTGTGTGGGTACGTGTGTGTGGGTGTGTGGGTGTCTGTGGGTGTATCTGTGTGTCTGCGTGTGGGTACATATGTGTGTGGGTGTATCTGTGTGTCTGTGTGTAGGCATCTGTGTGTGTGTGGGTGTGGGTGTCTGTGAGTATCTGCGTGTCTGTGTGGGCACGTGTGTGTGTGGGTGTCTGTGTGAGTATATGTATCTGTGTGTGTGTGGGCACGTGTGTGTGGGTGTGTGTGAGTATCCATGTGTCTGTGTGTGGGTATATGTGTGTGTGGGTGTATCTGTGTGTCTGCGTGTGGGTACGTATGTGTGTGGGTGTATCTGTGTGTCTGTGTGGGCACGTGTGTGTGTGCATACATGCACACTCAGGTTTACGAGATCGTCAGGGAGCACAGAGGGAGAAAATAACAGGAAAAAGTCAAGAAGAAAGAGCCACCTTAAAGCATCTCAGGAATTCATCCATCAAGTCAAATCATCAAGAAATCCCCAGTCCCTCAAGGCTCATCTTAATGTGGAAGAGGAATTGACCTCTGGGGAGAAAGGCTCTGACCACGCGACCCAGTGGGAATCCAGAGGCCAGCGCACCAGCCCGGCAGCTGTGACCTTGGGCAAGTCCCTGACTTCTCTGAGCCTCTGTGTCCAGCCCTATAAAATGAGGGGTGGGATTCCTTAAAGAAACACCGCCCTATCTCCCTGTGATCTAAATGATTGTCGTGTTCGTGTTTCTCCATGGGAGAAAATCGCTGGATCTTGGCTCTCCATTAGAAGAGAGAGGGCAAGACAAGGACACTTGCTCACTGTGGATGGAAATGAGCCTGGCTGCCTCTGTGGTCACTGTGAGTGCCGCCTGCGTGCTCCCTTTGACTGGTCTGAGAGGATTCAGACCCTAGACACTGAGGTGTGAGGTTTCCCTGAGGGCCGGACAGACATCTGACTGCGTGGTGGGACGCCCGGGGAGGAGTTCGGGTCCGTCTCTGCTAGTGTCATTTCCTGTCTCTTTTGAAATAGCTGTACTTTTGGACAGAGGCTGACAAATTCTTGGGTGGTGGATTTTGAAATGGTTATAAACAATTTGTAATTAGCTCCTTTGTCTAAATGAGAAAGGGACGCTTATTCAGGCTTTTTATTGACTCAAGGCCCTTTATCCACGTGGCAAGTGCGTCAGATGTGAGCAAAGGAGCCCCCTCTGGGATTCAGGAAAATTAAAAAGTCTGTTTATTGGAGACCTCCCATCTTTAGAGCTTGGGCCTCCTGGCTTGGCTAGTTATCAGAGTCCTAAATTCTGTGGTGTGGTTGAGGAGAAGCCCTGCGCTTGGAGGTTCAAGTCCCAGCCCTGCCACCTCCCGCTGCACGACCCTACGCAAGTGCCTTCCCGCCGTGGGCCTTCAGGATCTCCACCTACAGACAACGGGGTGGGATGGCAGCCCCTGTTCTCCTGCGTCACTGCCCTGGCTGTTTCGACGTTCAGACAAGAACATCTTTAAAAACCTGTGTGTGTTCACTTTGTAAACTCAAAAGCTGGAAAAGACCAGGCATCCACATTATTGTTTATCCTTGCAAAGTATAATAATCACAATGGTGGTAACTACAGCAACTCTTTATTATTATTTATGATGGGCCAGGCCCCAGGCCAAGAGCTTGATCACTTCCGTCTGTATAATCACTGCATACCTAGGTGCTGGTACCATCTGCATTTTATAGAAAGGTTAAGCAAATTGTCTAAGATCACACAGCTCACAAGGTCTGAGTAACCTAAGGCAGCTTCTTGGTGGCCTTCCAGTCTGGTGGGCTGTTATTTTTCCAGTAGTTTCTTTTGATTCATCTAAGTCAGTGGTCTTCAACCCCAGCTGCCCAGGTGCCAGCCCACATGGCCCAATGGAAAGCCTGGTTTCATTGGTCTAGTGTGGGACCTAGCATCAGTGTTTGCTCAGGGCTCCCTGCTGATTCTGATGTGGTCTGTGTGGAGCACGGCCGTCCTGAGACCCAGCATCTGTGGGAGAGGGCAGAGTAGTTTGGACTGAACACTGGGGCTCCATGGCCAGGTCTTTTCCCCTGGCTTCCTGCCCTGCAGGAGAAGGGAATTGGTCAGGTGGCCTCTAGGGGGTTTCCTCCAGGGGCTGTGAGGTTCTGTAACCATAAGAAGCTCATGAGCAAAGCTGTTATTTTTCTTTTTCTCCTTCTGTTTTAGGCAGAATATGAAGTTACTCCAGATGAAAAACTGGGAGAGAAAGGGAAGGAAATTATGACCAAGTACCTCACCCCAAAGGTAAGGAACTTTCCAAACCCCACAGCAGGTAGCACAGGAGGCATTATCCAAAAATAGGAGCCCCTAAGTCTGTGTCAGGCCACGTGGGGGAGCTGTTAAGTGCTGTGCTGGTGGCTGTTGTTGATCTCCTGTGATCCACAGTTCTCATCCTCCCCCAGAGAGTGCCCAAGACTGGCAGGGCCAAGATAGGGATGGTCTAGGCCAGGCCTGGAGTAGGGGCGGGATGCCTGCTTCTTGGGGCCCAGCCCCTTCAAGAGTCACCATGCTGCCCTGTGCCTACACCCAACCATTTGTGATAGGGCAGATAGAGGCCTGGCCAAGGTCAGGAGAAGTGCCTAGAAGGAAGGGCTCAGCAGGGCGGTTCTGAGAGGTTGGCATGGAGGGGAAGTGTTGGCGGTTGATTGGGAGGGAAAGGGGGTGCCCAACTACATCAAAGAATGGAGAGAATTCTGAAGCATATTCTGGAGTATTCTGTAGGGTCAGGGGCCACCCTGACCCCACCTCGGGGGCGTCCACTGAATGGTTTAAGCATTGGGGTACCACCGTCCTCAGGGTCCAGTAGCTTTGGTTCTCCAAGATCTGCTTCCTCTTGACTCACCTTCACAGAAGCGTGTTCTCAACCCATTTAGTGTTCTAGTGTCAGTAGTTCTGCCCACTTGGTCAAGTCACATTCCCTCCCTGGGCCTCTGTTTCCCTTTCTTAAAAGTGGCCTTCCTGCCAGACTCACCTCCTGGAGGTGTTGGGAGCCTGAGATGAGACCTGTGTGGGAATAGCTTTGCATGTGTCCCATCCCCTGGGGCCATTGGTGGCTTCATCCTGCTCAGGACCCTGTGGGCCAACCAGTTCCCTGGAAGGGTATACCTCCTGGTGTCCATCCCAGGCTACCAGTGGACTGAGGTCATCACAGCCTGTGGAAGGTCCTGGCCATCAGTCCTCCCACCCCCTGCACCTCTTGTACCAAATGTAGCCCTTGTTCTTCTCCAGCATCAGCAGTTGGTGGTGGCCATTGCCCTTGCAGGGTGAGCCCAGCCTGACGCCCAGAAGCGTTGCCCTTTGTCATGCCCCACTCTGAACAGCCTGCTAGACAGCATCCCTAATACGCACACGGAGTCACCATCACCTTGCTGCCTCCCCTTGCTGTTTCTCTGCTTCTGCGTCCATCATAATCCGTGCATTTCTCTTTCTGTGAGCAGCAAACACCCCCAGCCCTTTTGCACTTTTCAGAAATGACAGAATTTATGTTTATAAAACACTTCTAGGCATAGAATGGGGCTAGTTTGCTCTGGACAAGGCATGGCCCTGGGCAGGCACAGCTGCCCTCACCTTGGGCAGCACAGCCTTGCCATGCTCCAGATATGGGCCTGTTGATGTCTGTGAGGTTCTCAGGTGGACACAGTCGAGGAGATGTTCTCAGCAGGGTCCCTGTTCACCCAGTCACAGCCGATGTCATATTGATGAGGCTCTGGCAAGATACATTTTTCATCTCCTGGCCACCACTCAAGACAGTGTGGACACTCTGGGCATAAACACGTGCCCTGAGCTTAGAGGGGTGCAAGCACTGCAGAGAGCATGATGACAGCTCCCTGGCTGGGCTCCTGTGGTGGGCCACATGCCTCCGAGATGTCTCTGATGGTTCCTGTATCCACGAGAGGTTGCCCTGTTTATAGACAGGCCACTGAGGCCCGCAGAGCTGCACAGCATGAGAGGCCACTCAGCTGATGGGGTCTTCAGCTGCCCTCTGCAGAGGCATCTTCCCACAGCGGCTCAGCTTGGCCCAGTCCACCACTTCATCTGTGTCCCTGTAGGGTTGCCCACTCACATGTGTTCCCCCCAAACAATGGCAACTAGCATGTATCGAGGACCCCTTGTGTCAGGCACCACTGTCTATAGTCCTTGCTGTCACTGTGGAATGCAGATTCTGTTGGTTCCATCTTACCAATAAGGAAGAAGAGGCTCGGGGAGCTGTCGCATCCCAAGTCACACAACTAGTGAGTGACAGAGCTAGAATTTGAACCCAAGTCTGGGTAATTCTAGACCCCTGGTTGTTTTCCCTGGGTATAGGCTCCTCACCCCCCTTCACCGTCCTCCCACTGTCTGCGGCCTGGCTCTGATCTGCAGTGAGGGCAGAGTGCTCCCTTTGCCCGACCTTGCTGGCTGGATAGGCTCTTGTGGCTTAGCCAAGAACAGGGTATAGGCAGGCACTGGGGCAGCCAATGAGGGCTGCCACCGGCTCACCCTGTGGCCAGCCTCGTTCAGAAGCCCCTGCTGGCAGCCTCTGACCTGAAGTCTCCAGACCTCCCTACCTCTGCTCAGTCTTGCGTCCATCTCCTGGAGGGATGGGGCCCAGACTCCCCCAGCAGCTCAGATGGTTTTACAAGTGCCTCAGAGCCTGCCCACGTTTTTTCCCTTAAGTTCTCCTCAATTTAAAAACTTTAAGCCACACCATTTGTTATGGCCAGGGAGGCCTCCGGGGCAGGTAGTCGATCGGTGCCTTGGGTTAACTGTTTTCCTACAATAAACTTTGCCATTCCTTCCCATAACCGTCCGTCCCATGACAGCTTGCTCCGGAGCCTGATTGACTTCTCACATGCCCCTGGGCCCCAGATGCAGCGAAGCAAGGTGGTGGCTGAGGAGCTGAGTGAGTGACTGAGGCCCCAGCACTGGCTCAAAGGACTTTGACCAACCCCAAAGCCACTGTCCCCAAGCCCAGATGGTCCTTGCCTTGGGACCCCTCCTCAGTATGTAGCTCGTGTGTCTCAGCTCCGCGCAGTGCTTTCCAAAGGGTAGACCATGGGAGAGTGGCCAGTGGAGAGGCTCTGTGAAAGAAAGCCCTCTGTGGTCAGTTACATGTGGGCAGCACTGTAATGCCATATCTCCCCTGGTGGATTCACTCAGCATGTGAGCATATTCAAGGCTCTGAGAAGTCCTGCAAGAAAGAAACTTCTTTAACTGTTAACAAAGCATTTCCCAAAGTTATTGACCATAACATTTTTTTCAGTTTCCGGCACACCTTGGGCTACAGAACACATCCAAGAGCCTCATGCCCACACCTCCTTCTGCTCCAGCATCCTATCCTGGGACCTCTCCCACAGCCCCACACTGGGCTCTGGCCGTACCATTTCCCAGGCTCACCTGGATGTCCATACTTTGTGGCCTTCGTTCAGGCTGTGCCCCAGAAGGCCCTTTATCTGGAAGGCACTGTCCCCTACTCTGTCTTTCTCGCTTCTGTATCCCTGCTTAGCCCCAACATCTCCAGCTGCACAGAGCCTCTTCCGCCTCTCATCAGAGCCCATTGCCCTCACCTGGGTGGTCTCTGAACACACTGTTCCATGGTTGTGATTTGGTGCCCCATGATAGGGATTTGAGGAGCCCACCTTCAGAGTGGGGGCAACACAGAAGCAGATTAACCAAATGCCCCATGATGGAAGCAGTGGTGGAGCTGTGCTCAGGGAAGTGGGGGATCTGGAGAAGCTGCCCCAGCCCAGCCCAGGTGAGCCAGGGGAGCCTTCCAGGAGGTGATGCTGCTGAATCAGATCTTAAAGGATGTGGAGGAGGAAGCTGGACACGAAAGAAGGGGAAGGAGGAGCAGCCTTCATAGGTGCAGTGCAGTGGGCATTTGGGGCTATCTAGAGGTACTTGTAATTGGCAGAGTTGTGGGGGAGGGAAGTGCTCCTAGCATCTGATGCGTAGAGGCCATGGTTGCTGTTGAACATTCTACAGTGCACATGGCAGCTTCCTACCCAGAGTTACCTGGGGACAAAATGTCAATAGGGCTGAGGTTGAGAAACCTTGGCACAGAGGTAGAAAAGGGCACGGGGTGGGCAGTGCTGTGGGGGTGGGAATGGGGAGGGGGCCCCTCTGGGCTGTAGGAACTGGGAAGCCATGTTGAGGTGGCGGCAGTGTGGAGCTGCCAGTGCTTTGAGTGCCACTTGTATTTTAGGATTATCCCCCTGACTACATGGAGGAGTAATAAGGGGGATGAGGAAGGACTGGAGGCAAGAGGCCATCTGGGGAGCAGCCCCAGATCCCCAAGCTGGGCCTGCAGCCTTGGGGATCGGGAGGAACAAGCGCCTTGCAAAATGGCAGAAGGAGGATGCCCTTGGGCTTTTGTCTTGAGTCTCTGGGTGGGTGGAGGTGTCCCCAGGAAAGACAGAGCACAGGATGAGGGCTGTGGGAAGGTCTACCTGCTCTCGGCAGAGGCAAGGGGATTCACTTTGGATGGAGACAGTGGCATCTGCTCTCTGTGTCCCCGCCCCAGCATGACGCTGGACACATGGTTCTCGATCAATGTGAGCTGGTTGAAATGAAATGCTGAGGGGAGCTCTGGAAGCTGCCCTCCATGGGCCCATCAGCTCTCCTGCCTCATGTCTCTGGGGAGCCACGCTTGGTGAGCTCACATCCTGAGGTGTCTGCCATCTTGTAATTGTTGGAAGCCAGGATAAAAAGCCCCTGTCTAAGCAATATCTATGCCTGGAGCTCCATTCTCCCTCCCCACGGAGGACGCCCTACCAACCCTTGCCTGAAGTTTTTATCCCAAGAGGCAAAGCCCACTCCATGGACACTGCCTCGAATCCTGCATCGGTCGCCCACACACGGCCAGCTTTGCTTTGGGGGTGTTACAGGGCGCCAGCCAAGGGTGGGCTTGGAAGGGCTTGAGAGCTGTTGGAGAGCTCACAGAAGGGCAGCAGAGTGCTGAGAAGGAGGTGAGCTTTAGGGTCAGGTAGAACTGGTTTCAAAGCCAGATGTCACCTCTTTGGGCTGCATGGGCTTGGGAAAGTTGCTTAACCTCTCAGTGCCTCAGTTTCCTCATCTGTCAAGAGTGTCGGCCATGAGGATCATAAATAAAAGCAGCAAGTACTGAGCATGGTCGCTGGGGCATCTTCAGTGCCCGGCAGCGGTGCCTGTCATCTGCCTTTCCCCACCTTCTCCGTGCCTTCAAAATCAGGCTGTTGAATGAGGAAATTGTTCAGACATGGAACTGCCAGCTGTGGAGTGTGAGA